CATCCTACCACCTCCACCATGCTGTGCTTGCAACTTAACCTGAGGGGACCTTCTCCCGGGAAACCAGGGTGTGATCTTTGCAATCCTGAACCGTGGCTCGTGGAGCCAGACGCCCAGCTAAAATAAGAAGTGCTGCTTCCTGTCACTGACACAGAGTGATCCGCGCAGAGCGAGCGTGCTCTTTCGGCTCTCGGATGCAAAACCAAGTAGCCTAGAGAGGGAAAGTAGGGCAAGGGTGGGCTACTTGGTACTGCCCTGCCCCTGCATCGTGACAGTAAGCAACAGATCCATACAGGAGCAGAGAGCCTGAAGGCGTTTTCTCTGAGCTTCAGTGGCTGGGATCGAACCACTGACCTCGTGGTTGTCAGTCTTCACCTTTTTGCAACAACAGGTCAGACACAAACGAAACAACTGTTGCCAGTGAGTTGATTCTGACTCACCGTGACCTTCCAGGACAAAGTGGAACCCCCTCCCCCAAAAGCTGTACATTTTTGCCATAGCAGATCATCACGGAGCACCTGGATGGGTTCGAACCACCGACCTTTCTGTTCACAGCTGAGCGTTTCACTGTCCTATCCGCAGGGCGCCTCTCTCATGGCTTCCTCGACTCACAGCCACCCTGTAGGACAGGACAGGGTAGAACTGCCCCTGTGGGTTTCCGAGACTGTCACTCTTTACGGAAATTGAATGGTTTTGAACTGCCAACCTTGTGGTTAGCAGTCTAGTGCATAAGCACTACACGACCAGAGATCCTTCCTTTCTGTAGCCTCCATGCCTGGAGTGAGAGGAAGAAGAGGCTCTCTACTCCCCCAAAGAGTGCCCCAACAGGGGCAGTTCTACCCTGTCGTATAGGGCCGCTATGAGGTGGCATTGGCTCGATGGCAGTGAGTTTGTCTGGTGCAGGGTCTACCTTGAATGAGTCTCTTGTGGAATAAAGGAGTTTCAATTCTGACCTCTGTGTCTGGACTGTACGGTCTACCTTGAATGAATATAAGAGAGGTAGTGTTTACGGACATGTTGGGCTACTAACCAAAAGGTCAGCAGTTCAAAACCACCAGCTGCTCTGAGGGAGAAAGAGGAGGCTTTCTACTCCCATAGAGAGTTACCATCCCAGAAACGCACAGAGACAGTTCTATTGCGTTCTATAGGGTCTGCTGTGAGTCGGAATGGACTCGGTGGCAGTGATTTTGACTCAATGGCAGTGCTTTTATTTTGTTTTTAAAAATGCTTCTGGATTCTACTTTGAGTAGAATAACCCTCAAGACAAAGGCACTGCCGTATCCAGGAGACCCCAGCTCATAGCGACCCTACAGGGCTAGGTAGAACTGCCCCTGTACGTTTCCAAGACCTCACTCTTTTTTAAAATATGTTTACTTGAGTTTTATTGACTATTTAAAGGCGCTTGACTGGGTAGGTCATAACAAACTCAGGATAGTTTTGAGAAGAGTGGGGATTCCAGAACACGTCATGGTGCTCATCGGGAACTTATACAGTGG